ACTTTCATTCATTTTTCTTACTTTTCTTTGATTTCTTCATCGTTCAAACTCAAAATACAAAACAAGAAATACAAAACAATACAAAACACTGTAAATATTTTCTTGCTGAGAGGTAGACGACTAGTTTGAGAGACAGGTGACAGGTAGCACTGTCATGATAATATATGAAGCTGGATCCAACAGTTTTGTAGCATAGCACAGCACACCCTCAGGGGGAAACTGTTATTCTGACTTTGTCCAAAGGTTATACAACCTGCGAGAACATCTAAAGTTTGGTAATTCCTTCCTGTGCCTGACTTCTTCCAAACTAAAGACTTCTGCAGTGGCCCTCCAACACCTAAAATCACACTCTGATCATTATCAAAATCTAACACAATCTTATGATTTGTTTTACAAAGCTGATAACCACTTACAGCTTTACCTAAGGTACCTTATATGCACTATAGTCCTTTCCTGCTATTGACAAGATATAAAAGAAGCTCGAGATTATAAATCGGCCAGAAAAGCAGGAATAACTTGTGATATATAGAGAGCCATGACAAAGAACGTTTTTGCAGGTCTCTCTGCAGTCATGTGGAAAACTAATTACACCCCATGATTCAGTAGTTTGTAAACCACTTTTATCAGCAATAACTCAAAGTAATTGTTTTCTGCATGACTTTATCATTCTCTCACATCATTGTGAAAGACTTTTGGCCCAGTCTTCTTTACAGTATTGCTTCAGTTCATTGAGATTTGCAGGCTTTCATTTATGCACAGCTTTCTCGCGGTCCTGCCAAAGCATTTCAGTCAGGTTGAGGTCTGGACTTTGACTGGTCCACTGCAGTACCTTGATGTTTCCTTTTTAATCATTCTGTTGTAGATGTGTTGATGTACTTGGAATCGTTGTCTTGTTTCATGACCCAGTTTAAGCCAAGCTTTAGCTGTCTGACAGATGTCCTCACATTTGACTCTAGAATACAGAGGAGTTCATGGTGGACTCAATGATTGTAAGGTGCTAATGTGGCTGCAAAAAAAGCCCAAATCACGACCCTTCCACCACCGTGCTGACAGCTGGTATGAGGTGTTTGTGCTAATATGTTGTGTTTGGTTTTGTGCATTATGACCAAACATCTGCATTAACCCTTTCACGCATAGTGGTCATAACAGTGGACAGCTATTCTGTTATAGACAGTGTTGATGTTTTTTTGTTTTGTTTTTTTGTTTTTTTTAAGCTTAAACTTCAAAACTTACATTTTAACTACTGATTTTATCTATTGTTCTGATTTTATCTGTTTTGATTTTATTTTTTTTACATACTGTTTTGTTTGTTTGTTTGTTTGTTATTTAGTTAGTTTGTTTGTTTGCTTGTTTTAATCAATTTTAAATCATGCTTTTTATTTGTTTTTGTTTCTAATGTCTCTGTAAAGCACTTTGAACCACCTTATTGTTGAATTGTGCTATACAAATAAACTTGCCTTGCCTTGCCTAGCCTAATGTATGTTTGGGGGCGTTGCACCCCGGAACCTTAAGAGGTTTTTCAGGGTTTTCTCTGTCAGAATGTTATGTGAGAAACAGTTTCCTGTTTGTGTTGCGACTAGCTGTGGTTGTTTCTAAAAGTGGTCAGTAAACATCCTAAAAGTGGCACCTGAGTTTCCGAGCATTTTTATCCTGAAGTCATAACATATTCAAAGGCTGTTTTCTTGTATTTGTGTCAGTGTTGATGGTATACTTGCACATAAACTACTACATTGGACACTAATGTGTCACTCCATACCCTGCCACCCACTGGTCAGCCAGCGGACTGACTAAGTGAACATGTAAAAAACTATTTGAAAAGTACATGTTTAAAAAAATGAAGTTCAAAAATCTTTTTTCATGCCTAAAGATGAATAAAAATACTTAAGAAAAAAATCCTGATTTAGGTTGTCATAGTTCATGCATGACAGGGTTAAGTTTTGATCGGCTTTCACACACCAGAGTGAAACAAGGGTTAAACAGATGAATGTTTGTTTCTGTTGACATCAGAAACTTGTCTCAGTTGTAACAAAATAGTTTCATCTTTCAACATCCACGAAGGGACTGGTTTTGGACATTAGCTTTGGTTATATATAGACACAGCCTGTGCAGCTGTCAGTGTGTTTCTATGGTTGTCCTTTACAAATTATCCATCCATGTAATTTTAAACATATTTTTTAAACATGGACATTTTAAAATATCCAGTTACCTCCCAGTTAGCATATGGCCTCTTTAAAATGAAGGGACTGCAAATAATTGCTAGAATTTCTGTGAAAGATGAAATTTGGGCTGGAATAGATCCATGGACCTCTCAAATCTGTTGTTTGATCCACTGGAGCAAGTCCTGACACTCAGGTGTGGAACCGATCAAACAGCAATGAATACTTTTGTACTTTTGGCAGAGTACATTAAATTATTATCATAATAATGCTATTTTACAGTTAAATACAGTTTCACTTATAATTCTGAAAATGCACAGCTTCTCTTCTAGGTCACAAGCCATTTTTAAATTGTATTTCTTTATGAATAAATGGGAGAACGGTCTTTATGAAATGTCAGGGGGCTGGAGTACATTATTCATATGATTGAATCCTTAATGGATTGATTTTCCTGACAGAGATAAAGACTTAAAAGCTTTTTGAACACTTCGCAGATGCAGAGATATTAAAATTTGACTTTAAACTTTTAGTTCAGTTTTACTATGGGAAAGATTTTAAATCAAAATCAGCATCAGCCTTCACTAATACCCCTGTAAGTAATTGGAAGCAAATGACAAAACATCTGATGCAGCTGGATGTCTCTACACTGAAAAGGCTCAACATTATGACCACAGACAGGTGAAGTGAAAAACAGTTGACTTGTTAGAAGCAGGGAAATGGACAAGTGTAAGAATCTAAGCGAAGTTGAGGATGACTTAGACGAGTGAGTCAAAACATCTCCAAAACTGTAGCTCTTGTGGGGTGTTCCTGGTCTGCAGTGGTCAGTATCTATCACAAGCGATCCAAGGGAGGAACAGCGGTGAACCACCGACAGAGTCATGGGTGGCCAAAGTTCACTGATGCTTGTGGAGAACAAAGGCTGGCCCGAGTGGTCCAATCCAACAGACGAGCCACTGTAGCTTAAACTGCTGAAAACATTAATGCTGGTTCTGACAGAATACACAGAGCATCACAGTTTGTTGTGTATGTGGCGGCATAGCTGCAGATCACTCTGGATGCCCATGCAGACCCTTGCACAGTGTCAAAAGCACCAACAGTGGGCATGTGAGCATCAGACTAGACCACCGAGGAAGGTGGTCTAGTGTGATGAATCACATTTTCTTTTACATCATGTGGATTGCCAGGTGCATGTGAGTCATATACCTGGGGAACACCTGATACCAGGATGCACTATGCACTAGGGCAGGGCAATATGGCCAGAAATATTTATCACGATATATATCTGAAAATTTGCAATAACGATATAACTGACGATATAATTGACGTGAGACAAAATACTTTACAACTCCACAACTTTATTAGTGCAAAAAAAACCCCATCAATGTATTTTCACTTAAACAAGCAGCTGGTTTTTATGTGCATTAAAGCTATATAAAAATTTAACAGTGCAAATGCAAATTACTTGCCAAAAGGCATTTCCAGTGGAAATTGGCCAACATATCCTCAGCATAACCATGTATAATATCCACAAAACTTAAAAAGAGGTTATACACACACAATACCATAATTTTATGTTGAAACACAGTATGTATTACTCCGCGAGGCTCCCGACTACGGTAGCTGTAATGCTCCGACAATCCATCAGGCGTAACAGAGAGTTCAGACTGTAGCTTAGCAAAGTCGTACTAAAACATTTTTTGACAGATTTTTGAGCGCCGTGTACCACATAAAATCGGTTTGGTAATAACAGTAATAACGACGGCCCGCTTGCATGCTCTACCAAAAAATGTGCTTTGGTGTGTATCTGACGGACAAAAGCCAAACCAGTTCCACACCACTGGAGCTGCGACGTTTTTACAAACCAATTCTGGTTCATCTGTTTCATTCAACGATCCGCTATCGGCCTTCTCATTCTCCGTCTCCACCATGCTTTTTCCGCCATGTGCGTATGAAAAACGAAGGCACTGCGCATGCGCGTTTTACCCATATTTTATTGCGATATTTCATTTTCATATAACATTATACCGGTATTACCGTGAACGGTATGATATGGCCCAGCCCTACTATGCACTCCACTCAAACATCTGTGGGATGTGGTGGACACACAAGTCTGGCCCCTGAAGGGCTCACTTCACATTTTACAGGACTTAAAGGATCTATTGCTAATATCTTGGTACCAGATAGCACAGCACACCTTCAGGGGTAAAGAGGAGTCCATGCCTCGATGAGTCAGGTGGACAAATGCAATTTTAGGCAGGTGGTAATAATGTTATAACTGATTGATATATATATTGAATGGACCAAAGGTTTAGGTCCTCCTTGCTTCGATTAAGGCTCTTGATCATTCTCCTTCCACTTGTTCTGTTTATCCTGATCAAATAAAGGCATAAATAAATACTTAAAAAAGGAGCCCATAGTTTATAAATGAATTGCAAGTAATGTTGGTGTGCCTACATATTTGTGATCATCTCAGTTTAAATGCTCTGCAGACTGCATGTGTTACCTGGCCTTCACTGACCGTCGCTAACAAACTATATAAATGTGTGTGTGTGTGTGTGTGTGTGTGTGTGTGTGTGTGTGTGTGTGCGTGCGTGCGTGTGTGCATGTGTGTGTGTGTTTAAACCCTCATGCTTTCAAAGGCTTGGTTGTTTTCTCACTGTCTACATAAATTCTCATTGTTAGCTAAAAACTATTAAATGAACACTGAAATGTGTTGTGGCCCAGCGACTTACTCAAAACCCACATATGGATAAAAACATGGTGGAAAATAGTCTCTGCTGAAAAGTA